GACGGGACGTGGCCTGTGGGGGCACTCCATGAATGCCACTCAGTGGCAGAACTCTTGCCTAGTGTACATGAGGTCCTATTTCAACCTCTAGCACCACACAATAAAAAGTAACCCTGGGGACTGGGGCTGGGGCTCAGCGGTAGAGCAGTCACCTAGCACATGCGAGGCCCTAGGTTCCATCCTTAGCACCACATAAAAAAAGAAAGAATAAAGGTATTAGGAAAAAAAAAAAAAACTAATCCTGGACTCTAGCATGGGCCAAACTGAAACACCACTCACAGGCATTGAGGAAGCTTTTTTGTACTGATGTAACCCTCTAGTTGGGTCCAGACCCCAGTTCCTCACCCAGGGCTGTAGAGTTGGAGGTGTAGGAGAGGGGCTTGGTCTCTGCTTTTCAGTGGCAGCTGCTGACTTCCTGGGACCAAGCCCACACAGGGAGGAGTGGGTGGAGGGCCTTGCCAGCTCTAGTGTGGGACCTTGGGGCTGCTTGCTGCAAGGACCAGAGCCTCCTACTCGGTCCCCCTGGGCCTAGGAGCCCACCTCACAGCAGGCTCAGGGTGGATGTCATCAGGGGGCAGGTGCTGGGCTGGCTGAGACCAGAGCCACCTCCAGTGGGAGAGAGGAAGCCTGGCCCCCAGCGTGGGCTGATGGGCTGCCGCACTTCCTCACAGCGGCCAGTGACAGTGACTATCCACCCGGGGAGATGTTCCTGGACAGTGACGTGAACCCTGAGGACTCAGGCACTGATGGCGTGCTGGCTGGCATCACCCTGGTGGGCTGTGCCACCCGCTGCAATGTGCCACGTAGCAACTGCTCCTCCCGAGGGGACACCCCAGTGCTGGACAAGGGGCAGGGTAAGTCTTGGGTGGCTTTTTTCTCTCGGTCCCTTTTTCCTCTGTCTCTGCCTAGCTGAGCACACTTCTTCCACAGGGGAGGTGGCTGCCACTGCCAGCGGGAAGGTCAACCCATCCCAGTCCACAGAGGAGGCCACAGAAGCTACAGAAGTGCCAGACCCTGGGCCCAGCGAGCCAGAGGTGGCTGCAGTACGGCCTGGGCCCCTCACAGAGCATGTCTTCACTGACCCGGCCCCCGCCCAACCCTCCAGCACCCAGCCTGGCAGGTGGGCTCTCTCAGGTCCTGCAAGACAGGAGTGGAGGAGAGACTGGCAGGGAGGGCAGGGTGCAGACACAGGCATCTGCAACCACCTGAGCCACTGTCATTTACATAGTGAGGACGGGCCAGAGCCAGATGGCAGCAGTGTACAGCCCCAGCCAGAGCCCAGTGGGGACCCCTTGGTGGTGAGCAGCAGTGCCGCACCTACCATGTGGCTGGGAGCCCAGAATGGCTGGTGAGTGGCCTGGGGCAGGGGTGGGTGGGGTCTCTAGGGAACCCTGGCCCACCACAGCCTCCTCCCGCAGGCTCTACGTGCACTCAGCGGTGGCCCACTGGAAGAAGTGCCTGCACTCCATCAAGCTGAAGGACTCTGTGCTGAGCCTGGTGTACGGGACCCCAGGCTGACTGGGGGCAGGGGGGGTAGTCTAGCCATCCTGAGCCTGACTCAGCATCTCCCCACTCTAGGCATGTCAAGGGCCGCGTGCTGGTAGCTCTGGCAGACGGGACTCTGGCCATCTTCCACCGTGGCGAAGGTAGGTCTTAGAGGCCCTACCTGAAACTAGTCCAGAGGGCTCCCTTGGTCCTAGGGCCATCTTTAGCCAGGCAATGGGTCCTCCACCCCAGCCAGGCCTAAGCAGGTTTCACGGGCTCTCCAGATGGCCAGTGGGACCTGAGCAACTACCACCTGATGGACCTGGGCCACCCACACCACTCCATCCGTTGCATGGCTGTCGTGTATGACCGCGTCTGGTGTGGCTACAAGAATAAGGTGCACGTGATCCAGCCCAAGACGATGCAGATTGAGGCAAGTGCTGGCCAGCAGCCTGGGCTCCACAGGGAGGGCACTGAACTGCTAGCCGGCATTGCTTCCCCCCTGGAAGCCACATTGAGGAAATGGCTAAGAGAATTTACTCCTCTGTTCAAGACATGGGCAGATGAAGGGCAGCTGGTGTACTGTGCTGCTCTGCCTGGAGCCTGCCCTCTGCTGTGCACCCTTGAAACAGGTCAGGGACACAACTCCCCTCCACCCTGCGCTTGGTCTCTCCAGGTCCTGGCTGGAAGCCTGGTAGCCTGTAGCCTGGGGAAGCCCCAGGGCTCGGCAGGGCAGGCTCCCCTTCCTGTCCTCTCCTGCCCCAGCCCCTGCTGATAGGCTGCTATGGCCCTGCAGAAGTCATTTGATGCCCACCCACGGAGGGAGAGCCAGGTGCGACAGCTGGCGTGGATAGGCGATGGCGTGTGGGTATCCATCCGCTTGGACTCTACCCTGCGGCTCTACCATGCCCACACGCACCAGCAYCTGCAGGATGTGGACATCGAGCCCTATGTCAGCAAGATGTTGGGTGAGCCACCATACCAGGTGGGTGGCATGCAGGCACAKCTGGGCTTCACTGACCACTCTTTTCCTGTCCCCACCCAGGAACTGGCAAACTCGGCTTCTCCTTTGTGCGCATCACGGCCCTACTCATTGCCGGCAATCGCCTCTGGGTGGGCACTGGCAATGGAGTTGTCATCTCCATCCCCCTGACAGAGAGTGAGTGACTCCCCCCCAGGCACCCTACAGTTGTACTGACTGCTGCTGGCTTGCTTGGTTTCCCCGGTGGGTGGGCTCCACACAGCCACACCCAGGAGGCTCACACCCCTGCCTCTCCTCCCCAGCTGTGGTCCTGCACCGAGGCCAGCTCCTGGGACTCCGAGGTAAGTCCACAGCGCCTGCCCTGCCCTAGACACAGACCAAGGTGGCGGCTCCCCTGTGCTCTTGAGCCTGCTGGAAATACGGTGACTTGCCCCCCCCCCCATACACTGTCTCCAGCCAACAAGACATCCCCCACATCTGGGGAGGGTGCCCGCCCAGGGGGTGTCATCCACGTGTACGGGGACGACAGCAGTGACAAGTCTGCCAGTAGCTTCATCCCCTACTGCTCCATGGCGCAGGCCCAGCTCTGCTTCCACGGGCACCGTGATGCTGTCAAGTTCTTTGTCTCCGTGCCAGGTGAGGGCTGCCTACATCCTGCCTGGATAGCCCTGTGGGTGCAGCCGTGGCCCCTCACTGGCAGCTGTCCTGAGGTCCCTCTGCCCCTGACAGGCAACGTGCTGGCCACCCTCAATGGCAGCGTGCTGGACAGCCCTTCAGAGGGTCCTGGGCCTGCTGTGCCTGCCGCTGATGCAGAGGGCCAGAAGCTGAAGACTGCGCTGGTGCTGAGTGGCGGCGAGGGCTACATCGACTTCCGAATTGGTGAGTGGGCACCGGCGGGGCAGGCCGTGGTATGCCAGGCAGGACCCCTCACTGCTGCCCACTCTCCAGGAGATGGAGAGGACGACGAGGCGGAGGAAGGAGCCGGAGAGGTGAGCCAGGTGAAGCCTGTGCTGTCCAAGGCGGAGCGCAGCCACATCATCGTGTGGCAGGTGTCCTACGCCCCTGAGTGAGGCCATTGCCCCCCTTTCCACCGCCTGATGCCAATATGTACATAGGACCCCGCCGGCCTGCCCCTGCCTGCCCCGGGCACCCATAGCCCCTTTCTAACCTCTCAACCTGCAGCTTTCACCTGAGGCCCAGGCCCCCCCTAGCAGGGAGTGGCCCCCGAGATGTGGGTGGAGTGGGCCATGGGAGGGAGGCGGGAGAGGGAGGTGGAGAGGTGCCTGCAGCTCCTGGTCAGTACCCCTACCCAGCATACTCAAGTCCCAGGGGCACCTTAGGACTGGGGCAAGGCAGGACCAAGGTGGTTGTGGGCAGCCCCTGCAGCTGGCCTTGGCTCCACTGTTACCTCCTCACTCCTGGGACCCCCAGAGCAGGAGCAGGGGCTTCACTCTGCCCTGTCTTCCCACCCAGTCTACTTGCTTTTGCATGCTGCCCTGGGAGAGCCAGGCCTGGTGCCCATCCTATGCCCAGGGGTTTGGCGCTCAGACTGCCCAGGTGCCTGGGCCCTAGGTAAGCCCTATCTAGGGTTTACACCTTCCCTGACTAATGTCCCCTCGGTCCCCGCCCCAGCCTCCCCAGAGATCTGGCATGGAAGCTTGGGGCTAGGGTCCCTGAGGCAGCACCTTCAAAAGACAGACCAGGTACCCCTCACCCCCTGAAGCCCAAGGTCGTCCAGCCCCTCACTGATTGGTGTGCCCCAGGCTTCCTTGGGCATGCTTCTCCTGGGCATTAAGACTCACCTTTAAGGAGCAGGACTTTATAGTCCTGCCCCTCCCAGAATCCCTTAGGGTGGAATTTCTCAGGCTGCTAGGGCAGGCCCCGGCCTCAGGAAGAAGTGGAGGCTCCTGCCATCTGCTAGGGTTAGTCCTAGGATGCAGGCTCAGCCTCAGGTTGATGGGGGATGGTGCGCTCCTGGGGCCTGCTTCCTGCACAGGGCTCCAAGGAGCCCAGCTCCCAGACACGTACCAAGTGCCTAGCGTTGCCGCTGTGGCCTGCTCCCTCAGAGAGAACTCACAGGAGGCTGCCAAGCAGAGGCCAGAGGGGCTATGCCACTGCAGCAGGGCTCTACAGTTGTGGCAAGGGGGCAGGTGCTGCCCTTGCAGGTCTGCTCCCCCACCTTCCTGGGCCAGGCCTTATTCCTCCCACCAGAGGTACTGACCAGGGCAGCCTGGCCCCCSCTGCCCACTTCCTCCCACCAGAGAAGCACAGATCTTGGGGAGCTGTCCCATGAGCCCAGCTGGCCAACACAAACTGCAGCCACAGGGAGCTGCAGGCTTCTCCCCACCACCCTGCCACCTCTCCACTGTGATGTATGTCCCATGTCTGTCCCCACTGGAGTGTGAAATGACTGGAGTGAGCTGGGTGGGTGCTTTGGCCCTGCAAGTGAACCCACGTATCTGCTCTGTATGTAATAAACGTCTTAACACGTGCTGCTGTGTGTCCCTGGGACCGAGCCAAGCCAATGCTCACATGGTTTTCCTCCAGTTTATTATGAAAAGAAATGGGGGCGAGCCAAGCGCCAGAGGTGTCCTGCACGACCTGGCCCTCTGCTCCACGGCCCGCTTCTTTGTAGCTGTCCTGGCATGCCAGGTCCGAGGGGGTGGTCCTGTTGAGGGCAGTCCTGTYGGGGGCTACTCGTACAGCCAGTGCCCGACGCTGTCCTCCCAACAGAGGAGCTCATCTGACCGGAACCACAGCGCGATCTCGCGGCGAGCGCTCTCCACCGAGTCGCTACCGTGGATTACATTCCTGCGCGGGACGGGAGCGTGGGTGGGGGGGGGAGGTCGAGCTGCAGGGCGCGCGCGTGGGGGGGGGGTGCGCAGGTGGGCCTTACTTGCCGACCTCCACGCAGAAGTCCCCGCGAATGGTGCCAGGCTGGGCGTTCATTGGGTCCGTGGCACCGATGAGTGCCCGCGAGGCGCGCACGACGTCCAGGCCCTGCCACACCTGAGCGCGGGGCGAGCGTCAGCGCGCGCAGGGCTCCGGGGCTGTACCCACCTGCCGTCCACTGGAACTCACCATGGCCACCACGGGCCCGGAGCTCATGTACTTGACCAGGCGGCCATAGAAGGGGCGCCCGCGCAGCTCCGCGTAGTGCTCACACAGCAGCTCCTCGGAGGCCTGCGAGAGGAAGGGCCACCGCGCTGCGCCCCGCGCCCCTCCTTCCCGCACCACCCCTGCATGCGCCCTGCTCTAAGCGTCCGCACCTGCACCAGCTTCAGCGCCACCAGCTTGAAGCCCTTCCTTTCGAAACGCCGCACGATCTCGCCCACCAGCCGCCGCTGCACACCGTCAGGCTTCACGGCCAGGAAGGTGCGCTCGTGCACGCCGCTGCAGGCTGCGGGGACCCGGGCGTCAGGTCGGCCCAGCAGCCTGCGCCCCGCCCGGCCCCCCCCCGAGCTTACCCGCCGGGAAAAGGTTAGCGAAGATAGTCAGCACAAGGCAGATCATGGCGGCGGCAGGACCGGACCGGGCGGGGCGGAGCATCTGGGCGGGGCCTGCGCTTAAAGGGGCGCGGAGGACGCCGAGCCACCCACTGCAYCCGCTCGGAACGCAGCGCTGCCCCGAGCGCCCGGCGCCCCAGTTCCGCGGCGGGCCGGCCCCACCATCTCACACGCACACGCGGCCCAACGCGCAGAGACCAAAACCCAGGATACAGAGTGCGTTTATTCCTAGCCACAGCAACCGGGAAGGGGCCGCCTGGAGGTGGGGCCAGCGCGTGGGACACCCCTGCCTCGGAGGGGGATGCTGGGGCAACAGAGGCGTCCCACTTCTCCCCACCAAAACGCAAGGCCGCGGAACAAGTCGCCGGAAGGGGGTACACCCAAAGACGTCCATCACAAGGAGCCCCCCCCCTCCGCCTCACTCCCAGGCGCTTCTCAGGCCCAGCCCCATTAGTCCGGGGTCCGCTTGGCCCGCCCCTTGGCCTCCTGTTTCGCAGGGTAGTCCCAAGGGTCCGCACGAGTCCTCTCCAGGTTCAGCAGGGGCTCCTCCGCGCTGGTGTCCCCGCTTTTCTTCCGCTGAGCCAGGATCATGGCCCGGAGCAGCGGTGGGTAGGGCACGGGGCGCGGGCTATCCTCCGTCCCAGGAGTGAAGGCGGCGAAAGCCTCCTCCTCGTGCTTGGGTACCAACCGCCAGTCGTGGTACATGACATGCTCGATCTCCCGGGCCTCGGCCTCCGTCTTCCCTGCGGAGGGAAGGCGGGGCTGACTCCGCGCCGGCTGGACAGTTGGCCACGCGCTCCTGCCAGCCAGTAGCCTTACCTTTGAAGGTCAGGACGCCCCAGGCCTTCCCGTGGTCCAAGTTCTGCGAAGCAAGAAAGAGTCGGGTCAGCTCCGGAAGCTGCTCGCCCAGCGGGCGGGGAGGCGGAAGCCCCRGTCCCTGGGATCCGGGAATGGAGGGGGAGTCGGGGAGAGGAGCGAGGCCAGGGAGAGGCTGCACCGCGCCGGGTGGGCCCGGGCCGCGCGCACCTGCGCGGTGAAGTCCGGCCGCACGCGCGTGAGGCGCCAGTAGCAAGGCTCGTCGTGCTGCCACAGCCAGGACTTGCGCGTGACCAGGCGGCCCAGGCCAAAGAGCGGGAGGCGAGCGAGCAGCTGCAGGAGGCGGCTCTCGCGGCGCACATCGGCCCAGGCGCGCACTGGCAGCCGGCGGCCCGAGTGMGGCCGCGTCAGGGTCTCGTAGTCCAGGGCGTAGAGCTGCGAGTCGCGCGGACGCTCCCGCTGTTCGCGCAGAGCGCGCACGCGGCGGGCCAGCTCGGCGATCAGCCGCGGCCTCACCTTCTTCCGCGCCATAGTGGTGTCCGCGACCCCCGCCTTGCTCCGCCCGAACCCCGTGTGTCCCCAGCCGGCCCGCGCCGGAAGCGGCCGGTGTCCCGCCCAAAGGCGTCCGGGCGTGTGCGGAAGTGGAGGGGAGGCCGGGCCATGGCGGAGGTGCGACTCAAGAGGGCCGCGCGCTCGCGCCGAGGCCAGCGGCGCCCCCCGACCTGGGAGGTGTCGGACTCTGAGGCGGAGGGCGAAGGCTCTGCAGAGGCCGGAGCGCGGGCTCGGGGCGTGGCGGGGGAGCGCAGGGCGGCGGCGTGGCGGCCCGAGCAGGCTCTGCAGCGCCTGGTGGTGCGCGTGGACCCAGGTCCGGGTTGGCGGACGGGCGGGCGGGCGACGAGCGGCCGGCCTGCCGCCCGCGGTCAAGGAGGGGCTGACAGAGCTGTCTTCCGCGGGCCCAGCCGTGCTGGAGGACACTGGTGCTGACGTCCTAATGGAGGCTCTGGGCGCCCTGGGCTGTGAATGCCGCATCGAGCCGCAGCGCCGGGCCCGCAGCCTGCGGTGGAGCGGAGTGAGGCACGACCCCGGCAGCGTGAGTGGCTGGTTCTACCCTCCCAGACCATGTCCTGGCCCACATTTCGCAGGTGCAGCTGTCTGGAGAGGTAGTGACGAAGCCTGCGTTGCCACTTTGCCAGTATGGAACCAGAACCAGCCTCTGTCCCATAACATTCTACCCCAGAAGAGGCTGGGGTCAGCCCTTAGTCCTGGGCTGGCCTTGGTCTCTGGGAGGCTTGACTCGGGCTTCTGGGGAACAGCCCTGGCAGGGCTAGGCATGACTGCAGTTACAGAACTACAAGAGTTCCAGTTCCCAGTGTTAGCTGGGCAGCTAGGCAGAGGCCCAGAGACAGGCCAAGTGTGGGCAGCAGTGCCCCCAATATCCCCACAGGTGGCTCCTGAGGTGTGGGCTACAGAGGAGCAGGAACTACTACTGCTGCTGCTGCTGGAGCCTGAGGAGTTTCTGCAGGGCACTGCCCAGCTGACCCAGGTGGTTTCCTTCCTTCATCCCATGGTACCAGGTTTCCCAGCCAGGGGTGCTGTTCTGCCAGCCAACATTTAGGGGAGAGGAGCACAGGTGAAACAGTAGAGGGATTGGGAGAGCACAGAGTCAGGACCAGGGTATACTGACTAGAGGACCCTGAGCTCAGGTGGAAGTGTCTAGGCAGGGCCAAAGGCTGGCTGAATTGGTCTGCAGCAGCTGACAGTGCAGCCTAGCCTCTGATAGAGTAGAAATAGTGCTCAGCTGATGTTTGGCTAGAGAATGACTAAGTTAGACCTGCTGGGTCGCAGGGTCCATGATTGTAGGGATCCTGCTGTGTGCCATGCAGATGCCGGGCTGGGGTGCAGAGCTGGACCACAGGGTACTCAGCCTCCCTGGCCCCAGGCAGCTGGTTTTCTGGAGAGGGTTGGCTGGGCAGAGGGAGTGTCTCTGGCTCTCCTGCTCCTCTTTGCCATTGGCTGTGGGCTGGTGGTCAGCAGTCTTCCTGCGAACAGTGTGCCATGTGTTCTTGCCTTCAGACAGAAGGCCCACCCTGTCCGGTGCCTTGGATCTCTCCTGAGAGCCCTGCCCACCCCCACCTGGCTGTCATAGGGCTGGATGCCCACCTATGGTACCATTCACCTCAAGGCCCTTAGTGGGGCTGGCTGGAGTGGGCAGGGGGAGGTAGGGGTGCCTCTGGAGGCTGCTGTCACAGCTGATTCCACTGCCCTGGGGGCCCTGGCAGAGGCAGAACTCAGGAAGAAGGTGTGGGGAACTGGGGGGTCGTTGCCTCTGCTCAGGTCTTGCCAGCCCAGTGCCCAAGGGATGCAGCAGCTGCAGAATTCAGAGGTGGTCCAGGCCAAGGAGGTTGTCAGCTGGCCGGAAGTGGAGGAGGTGAGGGCCGTTTGGGCTGTGGGGTTGGCCTTGGTCCAGCATGTGGCTGCTCTCTGGCTGAGAGGTGTGACTCCCAGCATGGTCAAGGTGAGCCCACGCCATCACCATCCTTCCCAGGCTCTGGTGCTCCTTCAGCTCCATGCAGACCTGGATGTGCTACTGGTGGCCTCCTGGCAAGAGCTGACTCAGCACGTGTGTGCCTACACCAAGGCCCTCGCCCAGCTCCCCTCTAAGTGTGTACCCCTACTCAGGGCTGGAAGGGGGACAGGACCACCAGGAGCAGGGAGCTCTGAGGGCAGAGCAGGGCTAGAAGGCTTTTTGAACTGGGGTAGATGTGGAAGAGGCCAAGGCTCTGAAGACCCCTCTGCCCCTCCCTTTCAGGCAGTGCTGGGACTCCCAGGCCTTTTCCTTCTGCACAGCAGGTCGCTGGGCTGCAGGCCAGCAGGTGGCCAGAGATGGCTCTGGGTTGCGTGGGGTTTGGTGGAGACAGATCAGGCAGTTTAACCGGGTCAGCCCTGCTGTGGCAGATGCCATTGTCACCGCCTTCCCCTCCCCACGCCTTCTGCAGCAGGTAAGCTCCCAGGTACCTTCCCCTCAGGTATGAGACCCAGGCCTCAAGGCCCCCTGCTCACACCTTTGCTTGCCCTAGGCGCTCATGGCCTGCAGCACAGAACAGGAACGTCTGGGCCTCCTGGCTGACCTCCCTGTGGAGGCCAGCAAAGGCAGACAGTCCCGAAGGGTGGGGCCTGACCTCTCCCGCCGCATCTGCCTGTTCCTGACCACCACCAGCCCTGACCTGCTACTGGACCTGGGCTCCTGACCACACTTGCCGGCCTCTTCTGTCCACCAGCAGGACAGCAACAGCCCACAGGAGGACTGATCAGACCTCCTGAGAGTGGGAGGGGGACAACCACACTTACTAAGCCTCGGGTGGACTCCATCTTTGGCTGGTCAGACTTGAGGTTGGGGAGGAGGGGGAAGACAGATGCTCTGAAATCAGCAGAAGAGCAGGGAGGCAGAGGCCTGAGGAGGACGGGGGTTTGTGTTCCCTCTGCCCTGAATGCTCTGGCCACAGGACAGCGTGGCAGCAAGACTGTGTGCCCAGCTGGGCAGCCAGGAGGACTGCAGGGCAGCACCAGCCTGCCCCCCCCCCCCACGTAGCAGACCATCAAGAGGAAAGCAGACACCGGGCAGCCCAGGTCTGGCAGACTCTTTAATCTCAGAGCTGTGTAAGACATAAATCTCACATTTGTCACAGTCGTTGGGGTCTGTGTGACGGGAACGGCAGTGGACGACATGCAGAGTGAGCTAGAAGAAGAGCTGGGACCCAGGGCCAGGAAGCGCCAGCTCACCAAGCCCTCTCTCCCCAGGCAGCAGACACCTGCCACCCCAGGATGGCCAAGCAGTGCTTGGCCATTCCTGGTACAGTTGGAGGACTGGTGTGGCTGTCCCCCCCACCCAGTAAAGGAGAGTGGACTCAGGTGGCCAGTGGCTCTGGATCCCCTACAGAAGGGACTGTCCTGGCCTTAGGAGAGACAGGACAACCCCCTTCAGACCTTGGTCCACCTCTTCTGCCCTGCAGGGTGGCAAGGAGGGAGGAACGGAGTGGCCTTCCCAGCCCAAGGAGGCAGTTTTTGTCAGAAAACAAGTCAGGTCCGTCGGCACCTCTTCCTTCGGCAGGGCCTGGCCTCTAGGCTGGGGGTACCAGGTGGGGACGCTGGGGGCTTGCGACGGCTGCAGTTCATGCTCAAGACCCAGCCCAACTTGTCACGCAGCACCTGCTTGAGACCAGGTGGCAGGGGCAGGCCCTCAAGGGTGTC